TTCAAGTCTTTCACTTTCTATTTTTATAAGCTTATTTATAGCTTCGTTTTCCTTTTCGGATTCTTTCTCTAAGAATTCGATTACCTCATTTCTCTTTCTTTTAACTGATGTTGTAGGTGTTATATCCATTCCGTCAATTGTTGCTGTGGTGGAAGGACTTTCCAATGAAATTATAGAATACTCGGTCATTTCTAGTGGCACTTCAATACTAGAACGACTCCCAAACACTTCATTGATTTCACTAAAATATTCGCAATTTGATGCTGCTTCGCCAGAAGTACTGTTTCTTTTCTTTATACGCTTATAAGTCCCCATTATGTTGAGAAAACACCTCGTTATTTCATCTCTTGAAAATGGAAACGAGCTCTCAACGTCCCTCATTTCCCTTAAAATCGACTCCCAAATTGTATTTCTTTTTCTTTTTTTGCCGGAAAATTCTGCTTCATGGCGAAGCCTTGTTGTTATTAATAATTTCTTCCGCTCGTGTGTCCCCTTTTTTCTCTATAATATAAGATAAAACGAAATGATAACACAATTTAAATTAGTTACAATAAATAAAAATTATTTACTCTGCCATTGTCTGTTCTGCATACCAAATAAAATTGATGCACGCTTTAAATCTGATGCGTTTAAAACTGAGTTGCCAACTAATTAGGAACATTAGGCGTTGCCAGAAAATTCAAGTATGACTTTAGGAACTATATGCATTGTAAATATGCGTTGCAACCTGCACCTCTCTATGTGGTGAGAGTTGTAACAATGTACTGGCATGGGCAATATAATGACCATTTTCAAGGGACTGGAACTCTGCTGCATACACTTCGCGTTGTACTCTGCGGGATAAAAGGCGTTTGGAATTATCTACTTCTTTGGTAGTTAAACCCATAACATTGATTTGGATGCGTACGATGACGACAATGGTCGACAAAGCCTAAGACCCAGGCAACGGTTCTTACCAATCTATGAAAGTATGAAAATCTCTATCGGCGCACATTTTGTCTTGGCACAAACGAATGCAACATCAAATTTATCAGATAAAGATTGAAATCGAATATAGGCAACTTCCGCAAAGGCGGCAAAGGCAAAGGCCCTAGCATCAACAAATATGTGGAGTCGAAGTTTTTGAGGTCCACCATTTCTGAAATAGTAATAAGGTATGGTTTATTTGACTATCTCGGGTAGTTGTTTATGCCCAAGCAGTATTTACGCCGTTTAGCAATAGGTTCCAGTGGATATCGTGTTTGCAAACCTCACATATAAGTAACTTAGCCCCAATGACAAAAGGGGTCAAAAATCGACATTAAGATACTTAGAAGTTCTCTTTTAGTAGGACGTTTCTCCCCATTTATCACCACTTCATCAACGTTATGGAATTACAGATTGAAACCGAAACAATCTAATGATGGCTGCCAAAACAAGCCAAGTACCCTCTCACCAACGAAACTTACTTTATTGCTCATCGATCATGTAACATCAGTACCACCAAGGCAAAAACCAAGTTGTAGGTGTACACACAGCAGTTTCTGCTGGCGGCAGCTTTTGTGCTTAGTTCTTTGTGACGTGCATCACGACTCATATTTCGCTCCACACCTACTAATCGTTCAATGACCTATTCGGCTCGTTTGCTCAAAGGCAATTCTGAGACAGTGTAGGATTTGACAAGTGCAATTCACCACCATAAGCAGATTGTAAATATTGCATACCTTCGTTACAAACTTTATTATTTTTATCATGGCACCGAAATAGGTGCGAATTCCTTCTCCTGACACATTTAGCTGCTGATTAACTGTTCAGAGTGCACTTGCTGCAAATAACGGCGGCGTGTAACGGATATCGAGAGGCTGCGACAACGGTACTGTACAGTTGGCAATAGCTGGCTCTGGTGATTCTGGCAATTGTCCATATTTCCACTGAAGTCTTGTTTCGAGGAGATTTACCTATCGAATCTTGAAATTTCATAAATCCAATAGACGGCAAACATATGGTATGTGAAACAGATTTCGCAAGATAAATAGGCAAATAATTGGAATGTGAATAAAGATGCCGACCACTGTAAGGCTTATAAACTTTTTGTTTGTAACCTGCAGTTTTTTTTTGTTTGTCCCTATCCTAGTTGTTCTGATCTGCAAGGTAAATGCAACTGCCTTTGTGCATATATGCCACCACTGGACATCGTATTAGAAGTTATTCATCGATCAGCCATGAAAGTGGCCTATTTTTACACATTGTTATTTTAAAATAAACCATTTGAAGCTTTTTCCAACTATTTGAAGCCATTCGGAAATGACAAATATATAAATTGCATAAACAAGTAAGCATAGCTTTACAGTTGGAATAATGTATGTATATAATATTAATTTCACGACAAGAAGAAATAGAAGTGAAAATGAAACATTCAACTGTAAAACAAACATAAAAATTTGAAATTAACATTTTAAATTACTGTGGCGGACAAAAGTCTACATACACCCCCTATTTCCATTGATATGATAATACAAAAAGTTTTTAGAAAAATGTATTTATACAGTTTTATTCTAATAACAATTGACTGAAACAATCCATTATTTAACTTAAAACAACAAATGTATGGAAGAAAAACTTAAAAATTGATTTGAGAAATGTCTACAAAGAGTTCGAAGCTCATACTCTGCACATTGTTATGATAATGATAAGGTACCGTTAGCCTTTTTCTTTTATTCCAATTAGGGGTTTCACATAGTATCATAAAGTTATAAGTTATAACGATCCGAAAACATAACGGCCAGAGTTGTATTTGAGTAACTTATTTTAGGATGAAATCCAGCAACAAATTTTTTAAACTAGTATAAAAATTTATGATTTTACAATGCCTTATGACATGTTGTAAGTACCCCAAATATGTTTATTGTTTGACATTTATTGACTTTAGTTGTAGTTTAAACACTTCAATAGCTATAACGGCTCCGCGGAAAGAAATATCAATTGATTTAAGAAATTTGGTGATAAAAAAGAAAAATTTTAAGCTTTAACCGCGCAGTGGACGCCCAAAAAAACTATCTCGTAGAGACTCAACCTGATTCTCAAAGAAGTGGACAAAAAACCAAAAGTAAATGCTCCAAATTTAGGCGAACACATAGCAATTATGCCACAAAAGAGCTTCCATCTAAGAATAATCAAAAAACTCTAAACGATAACCGATTCCACAGTAGAACATCACGGAAGAAACCTCTTATTGCTGAAAAAAAACGGAACTTCGTTTAGAGTTCGCCAAAAAACCAAAGAAAAGGAGATGAATATTTGGAAAAAAGTTTTATTTGCAGATGAGCCTAAAAAGGATAGATTTTTTGATAGCTCTGGAAGGACTAAAGTTTGGAGGAAAACTAACGTTACGCTTGAATCGAAGAACGTAATATCAATAGTGAAGCACGGTGGCGACAGCGGAATGGCCTCTAGAGTTGGAAAGTTTAATTCTAGTGAAGGTAAAATAGACGGATATAAGTATAAGTCTCTGTTGAAACATAATTTGAAGCCTTTGGTAGATAATTTAGGGCTCGGTTCGGGTTGGATATTTCAACAAGATAACGATCCGTAGCATACAGCTGGTTGCTTTATTATGCTCCAAAACAATTAAATACACCACTTCAAAGTCCAGATTTGAATATTATGGAACATGTCTACGAAGTTTTAGAGCGTATAATTAGAGAGCACGTAACAACATTTTCGGAAATTTACTGTGGCGTGAATGAAACACGAAATAAAATGGAGCATGAGTGAAAAAAATTTTATATTTTTTAAAACTGGTTTATATCTGTTCGCAGAACTTAAAAGTGTTGAACATATGTAATATTATGTATGTAATTTGAAGTAGTGAAGCGTAATCAATAAGACACTTAATTTCGAATTTTTTGAGGATACGTTATTTTGCTTTTCGGGTGACGATATAGAGTTTTGCGAACACCTCAGAATGTTATCCCTTTTTTAATTCCTGCAAATTGTGAAAGTAAAAAATGTTCGGTTACATACGAACTTGGTTTCTTTACGCTTTTTACTAGAAATTAACGTCATTCTTTAGAAATTTGGCTGTTTAAACAATACATTAATCGTTTCATTCGTGACTAATTATTGCAATTACCAAATGGGGTCATATGACGGGTCTCAATATTAACCATATCGTAATGAATATCAAACTTTGTTTATCAACACGCCATATTGATATTTTATTTTATATTACGCCATAAACGGGAACATTTAGTTTTGAGTATTTTATTGGATAGGTACTGTAATAATAATGGACCGTTATCAGTATAATTTTTTAATCGTTTCCAATATTATAATTGCTGGGTAGCTTCAAGTTTGGAAGTATTTGTAAAAAAATATCAATTGCAAATTTATACTATTTCGTCGAAAAAATCAAAAACATTTAAAAGTGTGTTGAAACTAAAATACAATCACTAGAACCTTATCTTTATTTCATTCATTACTAGCCATCGATAGTAGTTTTCTTAATTATTTAACTATAAGACAATATTATTTGCTTAATCGATAAGAAATGCAGACTAACATAAGTCACTTTTTAATAATTCACAAAGTATTCAATTTGAATGGTGAATCTAGTTTTGGAGAAACATTGAATAATTATTATCGAGAGATTAATGTACGTAAGTATACTGGTATTGGTATAGGAACATGAATATAGGAAGATTTGAAATGTAGTTTTTACTTCTTCGCTTGTTTAACTTTACTGTTTGTGCGTGCACGAGCTTGTCAAATGAATCTGAAGTCGACAGAAGATCACACAAATAAACAAATATTTACATACATATATACATAAATGCCTTATATACACTGAAATTGGAAATTACAACTATATTCCCCTCCCTTTTGCTATAAAAAAGCTGCCGTTGGCCAAAATTGTGTTAGTTTAATTTTATTAACGAGACTTAGTAGATAGTATCGGCATTTCCCCACACAATGAAATTGTTTGTCGTCCTTTCAGCAATCGTAGCGGTTGGTTGTGCTATGCCGCAATTCGGTAGCTCTAATGCTAACGCCAATGCTGAAGCGAAATCTCAAGGAGGTCCTGGTTTCGAAAACCAACCTCGTTATGGTGGTGGCTTTGGCGGAAATCCCGGCTTTGGAGGCGGTTTTGGTGGAAATAATGGCTTTCTTGGCGGTTATGGTGGAAATCCTGGTTTTGGTGGCAGTTATGGCGGACATCGTGGATTCGGGGGAGGTTTCGGTTACAATCCCGGTTATGGTGGTGAGCCTAGCTTTGGTAGTTCCAATTCCAAAGCCAATGCCAATGCCATTTCTAATTCCAACGGCGGATTCGGTGGAAGTTCTGCCAGTGCAAGCGCTGATGCCTCTGCTAGCTCTAACGGCTTCGGGGATGCCAGTTCCGTCGCAAACGCTAATGCGGAAAGCTTTGGAAAATAATCTAATTTAAATATAAAAAATATGCATAAATATCTCTAGAATGTGCTCATTTTCTCGTATCGCGCATAGAATTGTGCCACATTTCTGACTGCTCAACGCTATACTAGGATATATGTATTAATTTATTATTATTGCGAATATTAGGAATGTGGAAAAAATAAATAAAAGTTTAAAAATTTAACAAGTCCTGTGTATGAAACTTATTCGAAATTCAATGATGAATCTTCCTTTTTGATTACGCTGAACTTCGAAGGAAATAAAAATCGAAAAGTATGACAAATATTATATACACATTTCATGGTTTTGTGAGTGAAAATATCTACTCCTTTGTTCAGAAGAAACCAACAGCCTTAACGAAAATTTTTATTTATATTTCCTTTACTGAGCTATTGGAAACAATTTCTTACTTTTACTTTTATATATTTCATGAAGAATATATGGCTCGTAATTGATCAATATCATTGTAACTACTTATGTTATCATTGGTTCTGAATGTAGCCGCAGGATATTTATATTTTCTTACTCCATTCTCATTGAGATGTATTTCGTGATTTATTTCTCAATGAAGGATGAGCACTTACATACACATACATATATATCTTCTTTAAATGGAGCGTTTTTATTTTATTGTACAATTCGGCATTGAATCGACTAAATAATTCAATGTAGTCTTATGAGCGATTGTCCTTAATTTAACCGTTTAAACGACTTGTTAAATTGTGACAAATACACGGAAATCGCGGTGTGGCAGGAATAATAAATAATACCAAATTTTGGGGTTGTAAGCCTAAATGTCATCATCTAATTGAATTGTCAGGTGTCACATGACAATAAACGCTCATGTTCAAAAATATAAAAAGTACAGCGATGATTCTGAAGTACATACATACATATATATTTAAAGTAAATTTTCAATTGTACATGAATTTATATTTTATTGGAAATAAAAGCATATTTCAAAACCATGCAATTTGTAAATAATGGAGAACTTTTATTCTTTCCTTGCTATACATGTGGATACCATCATAACTTATGCATACATATGCATGTATTTAAAAGATCATAGTCTGCTAGTTCAAGAGTATATTAGTGTTTGTCTGAAAAAGAAATTAGACAAAGTTTAATTAATAGTGTGCTCGTGTCTGCGCTGCAAGATAAATGCATAATTCATAAGTCTATAATTTTGAGCTAATCACAAACAACTTCTATGACGTCAAAAGAAAGAAAAAAATCAAAATATCAGAACATTTGCCAGAGTGATGCTTAGCTTTATTATGCTGACATAAGTTCGTACATTTATTTTATTTATTTTCTTCACTAATTAAGAGAACAACTTTTTTGAAATAGAAGTTAGGAGGGAGCATCAAAATGCTCGGGAATTCTAGAAAATTCGATCTACTGATTAAAAGTTTGAAACTGTATAAGATTTTATCGTCAGAAATCTCAGTATTATGTAAATCTTCCAATTTCGATAAAGGGAGAGTTGATTAAATTTTATGGCAACTTCTTGCGAACTAAAAAAGAGCAAACATTTAAAGATACAGTTTTGGAGCTGTTGTAGCGACTAGCTAATTTTTCTGAGAATTCTTTTGTGTCCGACCGCAATTAATGACGCAGCTTGTAGGCATAACCTGTTTCTAATTTTAGTTTGTATAATACAAATAGTAAATATGAGATAGGTTGAATCTGAGTGAAAACGTTTAACCTTTCGAATAATACAAGCAATACACGTTTTGCATAAATTAGATAAAAAAAAAATAAAGACCATAAAAGGTATAAGTTTATACCTTTTATGTTTATAAAATAAGCATACAAATCAAAACACAAATGGTAAGTCATAACGAATTTAATTCCAACCGAACTATATACACATTCGCAAATTATAACAATTCTTTATGGTGCTACAAACTCCTTGTATTCGATTTGTGGCGGGTATAAAAACCAGAAGAACGAAATAATGTTAATGAAAATTTGAATGCAAAATTAAGAAAAAATGTTCATTAATTTGCCAAAATTATATTCTTTTAGATTTTTTAAACTTTACCTCACACAGATGTACCCAATAAGATATACGTTCAGTTATCCGCGTATAAAAAAAAAAGGAAGTTCCCTTTGATATTGAACTACAGAAATAATAAATTACTAAATTTCGAATAACTGATAAACAACATCTCGTTGCAAGTTGCCACAATTACTTTAGATTTTTTTTTTACATAAAAGTAATAAGCTTTAGTTGATTCGCTTTTTCTAGTTGTTTAGATTTCCTTTATAACTTTAGATTTTTTGAAACGAATTAATACTTACAGTTCAGAGTGTTCACTTAGAATTCTAAATAAAAAATAAAACAAGAAAAAACATTAACTTCGGTGGCAAAGAAGCTAAATGCCCTTCACAGGTACATTTCTGTTAGTAACTACGTAACTACTATAGTAATCCGTTCCGAACAATTATTTTGGAGATTATATAATTACCTTAAGTAGTAATCCAAATTTCGTGAAGATAACACGTCAAATGCGAAAGTTTTCCATATAAGCCTTTGATTCCGATCGTTCAGTTTGTATGGCAGCTATTAGCTATAGTAATCCGATTTGAACAATTTCTTCGGAGACTACATTGTTACTTTAGAAAATAACCGGTGTTAACTTTTGTGAAAATACATTTTGAAATGTGAAAGTTTTCCATACAAGAACTTGATTCCGATCGTTCATTTTGTATGGCAGCTATTTGTTATAGTGGTCCGATATCGGCAGTTCCGACAAATGAGAAGCTTCTTGAAGAAAAAATGACGTTTGCAAAATTTCAAACGGATATCTTAAAAACTGAGGGACTAGTTCGTATATATACAGACAGACAGACGGATATGGCTAAATCGACTCAGCTCGGCATACTGTTCACTTATATATATTTTATAGGGTCTCCAACCTTTCCTTCTGGGTGTTAAAAACTTCGAGACAAACTTAATATACCCTGTTCAGGGTATAAAAATAAAATTAATAGCCCATATTTAAAGGTTCTTGTTAACAATCTTCTTATATTCTCTTTATTGGTTTACTTTCTTTTTTTTTAAATATACATACTTTAGCAAGTATACAGATAAACAATGTATTTAAATTTTTTAACTCAGTTTTTTAATTATATGCTGATTGCGTCAACTGTTCAAAACCATACCACCAAGACAATTAATAAAAATCGACAATCTCCCAAGAGTGGAACCTACAAAATCAATATTTATTAATGATTTTCAACTCTCAACCAACTCAGCTAGGTACTAATTTTTCAATAGTTGACAAGCTCAACAAAATATAGCTTCAAAATGAGTGGAGTGATTGCTTTTGTCTCCATTGCATTCAAAGTTGAGTTCTTATAATAGCTTTACAATGGTAAAAATAGATCAAGCTTTGTTTAGCTGTCAATAATAAACAGTTAAAGAAACTGAAGTCTCAAAGCTTCATTTATATCTTCAATGATAAACAGCTAAAAAAAGCTTTTTAAAGCTTCATTAAAAGCTTCACAATCTGGAATGATCTGTCAAAAATTCCAGAAAAGCATGATTGCAGAGCATACATATCTGAGTAAGATAACCTTTGATTGGATGTTAATGATTTTATTTTCAAAAAATTCCTAACAATAATAACAACCTTAAACTTAAGGTTATTAATTTTAATTAAAAAACTTTATTGTAATAATGGCAACAACATATAATTGGAAGTTACTAATTTCATTAAAAATAACCAGATGGTTTGTTTCGCACATTTATAAATTAAATTTTGAAAGTTTCAATTCTTCTCTATAAAATTGAAGTAAAATTTCCTCAGAGTTAAAATTTCGGTAATTGTTCAGGAGAGCGGCTTTTCTGAAAACATTGCCCAATTTTTGTTGTGAGTTTTTGTATCTTAAAATTTTTATTTTTAAATGTACTTTAACTATAGATAGAGTGCATGCAATATTTTTTATTTTACTGAAAAAATGTCATATTATAAAAAATATAATTATTTATATAGTCAACAATATAATTTTACTCATTCGTTAACATTTCGGCCATATTATTCTCGTATCGCTTGAAAAATTTCGTGTAATCGTTTAGCATGACTACGGAAATTTCGTTTGAGAAAAGTTTCGCCAAATGTCCTAGGACTCTTTTCTCCTGTAACGTGGTATTTACTTTACTTTACGCCTTACTGGCGTTTGTCATCGCTTACGCCTTTACTGGCGTTGTCACCGCTTACATGGCTTTAGCCAAGTTATCAACAGCGCGCTAGTCGTTTCTTCTTTTCGCAATGCGGCGTCATTTGGAGATTTTCAATGTAGTGGAGGTCTTCCTTTTTCTGCTTCTTCTAGTGGGTACTGCGTCGAATACTTTCAGAGCTTTACTATTTTCGGCAATTCGGACGACATGACCTATGCCGCGTAGCCGCTGTCTTTAAATTCGCTGAACTATATCAATGTCAACGTATATCTCATACGGCGCATCGTTCCATCGAATGCGATATTCGCCGAGGCCAATGCGCAAAGGATCATAAATCTTTCGCACAACCTTTCTYTCGAAAACTCGTAACGTCGACTCATAAGATATTGTCACCGTCCATGCCTCTTCACCATATAGCAAGAAGGGAATAAATAGTGACTTATAGGGTTTGGTTTTTGCTCACAGAGAGAGAACTTTACTTCTCAATTGCCTACTCAGTCCGAAGAGCACCTGTTGTTGTTGTTGCTGTTAATACTGGTTTCATGGTACGCGAAATTATCTACGACTTCAAAGTTATGACTGTCAACCGTGACATGGAAGCGTAGTCGCGAGTGCGACAACTGTTTGTTTAAAGACGTTCACTACCAGACCCACTTGTTTCGCTTCTTTAACCATTCGGGAGAAAGCATAACTAACAGCGCTATTGTTGAAGGCGATGATATCAATATCAGCAGCGTACTCCAGCAACTGTACACTCTTATAGAATATTGTAGCTTCTCTATTTGGTTCTGCAGCTCTAATTATTTTCTCCAGAAGAAGGTTGCAGAAGTCACACGAAAGAGAGTCGACTTGTCGGAAACTTCGTTTGGTATCAAACGGTTTTGAGAGGTCCCGCAATAACGAATCGGGTTCGCCTCTCCTGCCTTTATTTTTTCAATGCCATTCAGCAGCCTGGAGAAGTGTTCGCTCCGTAATTTCAGCGTTCGGTATTTTTCCCA